GTGTGGAGAGGGATGAGGAGACGTGACTTCTCTCTCTACAAGGAGTATGCCGCTGATAGATGTCCTGATTTCAAGGATTATCCCTGGTCGGAGAAAAATGAGGCCGTGACTGAGGAAGTGAAGGAGATACGGGACATGGTGAAGGGATTAACGAGACAGGTTACAGAGATTGTGACCACTACAGGGGCCACGGCCTACCGGGACAAACCTGGAGGGCCCTATTCACTTCGTTGGGACCGTAGGAACAACGATCCCTGGAGGGGTGTCGATGATAGAAATCCTCGGACGCTGACTGATTATCGTACGAGGGGGAGAGAGAGAGACGATGAGCCATGACGACGTAGGGACGATGAGATAGACCGAGACCGCAGAGATCGCAAGCCGTTTGTGCGAGCAAGGAGGCTGAATGATTACCCGCGAAGCCCTTGCTATGAGGCCGATCGGGGTAGAGGCGACTCCCGCGGCCGATGGGAGACAGGACAGGGCCGCCGAGATGGATATAGGGACGACAGATACGAGAGATCGGACCGAGATGGATATAGGGACGACAGATACGAGAGGTCGGGTCGAGATGGCTACAGAGGAAGTAGATATGAGAGAGGAGATCGGGACTGGGAACGAAAAGATGGGTCGCGCGGACGGTTTGAGCGCGGGGGAGATGCGAGAGAGCAGCACGACGAGTCGCGGGGATGGTACAACCGAGGGGACCGACGCGATGAGTCACGAGGACGATATAACTCGGGGGACCGCCGGAATGATTCGCGAGGGCGGTATGAGCAAGGAGGGTCAGGAGAAGACCGCCGCAACGATTCGCACGGACGGAATGAGAGAGGGGGATATGGCGTCTCATCAGAACCATATCCTAAGTCGCCTGACCCCAAGGCGGCCAGGAATTCGATCTCTAGAGGCGCAGACGACAGGGCATCTACTCCCAGGAACTCATGCTTCTACTGTACAGGAGAAGATCATATCAAGAGGGATTGCCCGGACCTCAAACGGGCAATAGATGAGGGACTTGTCGTGCTTGACGACCGCAAGTACGTCAAGTGGGCAGATGATCTGGGAGATGTATCGATGTTTCCTTCGATGAAGGAGAATGTCGAAGCAAGGAGAATAAAGACGAGTAAAGGAATGGAGCCGGTCACGAGCCAGAGCATCAAGATAATCTTCGAGGGGGATATCGCGACCACACCCATAAGGATGGCAGCCACCAAGTCGGCAAGAGGGTCTACATCGAAGAAGACTGACACGGATTACGTGATGACGGAGAAGGACGGGCAACGAGTCGATGGAGAGGAGGTTATCCTTTAGCCGCGAAAGAGGGGAGTGAAGAAGTTCTTAATGAAGAGTTCGCTGGACGAGATTGACACGGTCGAGCCACTGAGGCAGGCCCTTCAGCAACCCATGCAGTGCTCTATTCTGGAGTACCTGGCGGCATCGAAGCCGGCTCGTGATGAGTTACAGATGATCACACGGAAGACTCGCATACCTCTATCGCAGGAGGGTCAGGGGGCACCTAAGGCGGAAGCTTCTACAGTAGCAGTAACGGGGGTGACTGCCAGAGCGGGTCGCATGGCGACAGTCCTTCTCGATGGGATGGAAGGCGTGCCTCCAGACAAATTTTATATACTTGGTAGCGGGGCCGTAGAGACGATTATAAACGATGGAGCGATACTCGATGCTGTGATTGATAACGGCAGTGAGGCTGTCATCATAGACGAGAACCTGGCAGTACAAGTTGGACTGGACCTCGATAGATCATACCTATTCGAGATAGAGACGGCTGATGGGAGAAAGCAACAGATCACTGGGGTTTGTCACAAGGCAGCCATTGAGGTCCAAGGGGTACGAGTGACCCTGCCTGTCTTTGCAGTCAAGAACTGTAGCTCCGACCTGCTCTTGGGTCGAACGTGGCTGAGCCACGTGCATGCGGTAACGAGAGAGCGACCTGATAGGAGCCAAACATTGTCCATTAGGAAGCCAGACGGGACGCGGGTGATGATTGAGACAGTGGAGCCTCGGGACCTGAGGAACAGAGCAGCTCTCGCTGTGGGTGCAAGACCCAGTGATCAGATTAAGTCGTTACCTATCTCCGGCCGCGCGGTGCGATTTCGCGAGAAGAGATTTGGACCACTGCTTACAGAGAAAGAAGGTCGGATCGTGGAGGTGGAAGATTTAGGGAGTCGGCTAATAGTGGACGGCAACTCGTACCCAAAGGAAAGAGATGAGGAATTTGGCGGTGTGGTATCCGTGTCTTTTTTAAGGGCACGGCCCCCTA